CAAAAGCACAAGGCAGAGGCCTTCACTCTGGGAGCCCTTGATCTCCTTGTGGAAGCCTTGCGAAACCACCCCAGGCATTCCGGAGTTCAAATCTGGGCAAGCCACGGACTGGGGCAAGTCTGCTGGGGCTCCACGGTGGCACAGGGCGTCCGAAAGCGTGCCATTGAGCTCGGTGCCTTTGAGTTGATTGTCAGCAATTTACCTCCAATGCCCAGTGGAAAGGACTACTTTCGTTTTTGGGCCTTGGGTTCCCTTTGCTTCGGTAGCGACCCAGCGGCCTTGGACCGCCAGCAGAAAGCTTTAAGCCTTGGCACCTTGGGGCAGGTGAAGCTCATGCTGAAAGAAGAGAAAGGTATGCAAGAACAAGGCACAGCAGTGCTCCAGTTGTTGAAGAAAAACGACATTTGCAGGATGGTGTTGCAAATAGTCTCTGCACCTTGGTCCTTGTGGCAGTGGGCACATCCAGCTTCATCTCATTCGACAAATCCAGCAGCAGAGAGTTCGGAAGCTTCTCCCCAAAGCAGAGAGGCCCGAGAGGCCACGGAGACTTCTCCAAGTGAAGCAGCACGGAACAGGAGAGGAGTTGCAGAGGCTGAGAAGGATTTGCAGGCTGCGATCAAGAGTCGGGATGTGAACAGATTGAGAAAGGCCATTGAGGAAGCTGAAGAGTTTGGGGTGGAAACAGCGATTCTGTATGAGGCTCAAAAAGCCTTGACGAACCTCGTGGAAAGCGGTCCTATTAGCCCTTCTATCCAGCTTTTGCAGGATGAAGCAGATGATTTGACTCCTATGGCACCTATGGGCATACAAATCTGCCATGCCATTGATGCACTTTTCCAGCTCTTGACTCATGAACATGAAGCTTCCAAAAGTGTAGGTCGGGAAACTCTGGAAAGATGTTGCCAGAAGGCCCAAAAGACCTCCGACGAGCTCCTGAAGAGTAGCATCTTTGGTCTCATGAACCCTGATGAGATTAAACACTTTCTTCTCGCAGCAGATCATCAGATGTGGATGGAAATCAGTGACTAACAATCTTCTTGAGCATATGTTTGGGTTTTTGTCCCCTGAATTTTTGATTCCAATCTTCAATGCAGTTCTTGTTGGTTCACCAGCCTCACGGTTTTCCTTTGCTGGAATGGTTCATGCTTCTCACAGGCCCCGACTCAGCAAAAGCTAAGGGCAAAACACGGAGGATTTTCTCAATAAGCTTTTGAAGGAGCCTGGAATCCGTGTGGAAGATCGACCCAAGGTGCCTAACGCAGTTTTGCCTTCGTGGTTTGTCTGTCTCTACCAGATGTGCGAAGAATGACAAGCTTAGTGCTCTGTGCGAAGAACACGCAGAGCGTTTGGTCAGAGCGTTTGCAGTTACATGACACACGTACTTGTGAAAGAATGTTTGATTCCCAGTGATCCCAGAATGCATTCTGACTGCGGTGTTGAGGTCGCAGAGATGATGAGGCCCGATGCGATCAATTCCCACTTGCGGCAGATGCGACCCGTCATCATGGATCACACGGTCCGGGAACCTGCCACCACCACACCCTTCGGGCACACGGGCTACATGAAATGGCTGACCTTGAAGATCATTCAGAAGATGAACATCAAGGACATAGCCATCAGTGGCCAATACTATGGATCATCCTATACGCCTGAAACTCAGATCTTAGAGTGGCTCCACTACAAGGGCGAGTCCATGGATGGCATGGTGGTGATGTTCGCACCTGGAGAGCGTGAGGCTGGCATCAAGGCCATTCGAGACTACCAGATTCCAAATGCCTTCCTTGATCTGACTCTCAAGGCTGGAAGGATTTGGCGATTCTCACAGTTCATGAGCCCTTCTGTGGAAGGCCCCACCAGGGAGCATAGACCTCAAAATGTCTTGATTGGAGGGGAGTCCCATGCAGAAAAGCTGCGTGAACAACTCGAATTTTCTTGTCATTGTAGTGATTGAATACTTTGGGTAGCCTTACTACGGCTCTGGGGCTTCAATGGCAACTCCCCAACAAATCGGAACTGGTTGCCATTGAATGGCCAGGTGGCATGATATTGAACCACAAATGCCGGAGAAAACGGTTCTTGGAGGCCTCACGCAATGCTATTTGCCCCATGCTGATGTGTTTTCACTGACCTCTTTTGAGCACGGTAGGCCAGCGTGCGTTTTGCAGAGACGAACTTTGCCACGACCGTGCAGACCGTGTTGGACGCTGTGAAGGAGTTGGACCAGATTTTCAGTGAGATGGGATTGGCCCATGAGCCATGGAGGAATGACGAAGAAGTCAACAGAGACTCGATTAGAAAGATTGTTAAAGTCTTGGAAAGTGTTTGTTAACGCAAGTCGATCAAAGTAGGAATGAAAGGTTTGCTTTCCGCCGTATGGTGTGAGTGAGGTAAACATGGGAGCGGCGAGATCTCCCTGAACTTGGTTGACCTGATGGAATTTTTGGATCTCAAAACGAACGGAGAGATGAACTCTTCCAACCAAAAGTCCTTGGAAGATGCTTTTGCCAAATGGAAAGCCAACAAGGCATTTCAACGTCGAGTGGTTGCAATCTTGACAGAGGAAGGGAGAGGCTGTGCCAATTATTTGGACTATGGCAAGGTCGTGGAGTGGCTGCGGAGTCAATTTCCACAGAAAAAAAACTACCGGATTTTGATACACGCACACGCCGGTCCTGGCAACACTCAGGATGCAGCCAGCATTGAAGCTGTCCTTCATGGAGGCAACGGTGTTTGGGCTGGGATCATTCCGCAGGCAGCACAGGGTGGGCACAACTCCAGCTTGGTTTTCCTGGACAACATGCTACGACTGGGCAACCAGCACGTCCTTGAAGACTATTGGTTGCACCAAGCAGCTCAAAGTGCTCGCTATGTGTACTACTTGAATTTCAACACCTACACAGTTCCTGATGATTGCCCGATCTGGGGTGCTCAGGTAGAACGTCTACTGCACACTGCGTTTAGCACAGTGGAAGGCGAGGAGTGGCGCAGAAGGCGTGGCAATTATTACAACATGTGGGGGCGGAAAGAAGCTTGGATGGCAAGAATCTCGTCACATGCGCTCTTCAAATGTATTTGTACTATATGTATAAATTATTGTGACTTGTCTTGTGATTTGTCAAGCAAGGAGGAGATCAAGCTGGAGACTGCGGTGGAAAACTCAAAGCATCACAAGGCAGTATCTACACTTCGCATTCACGAGAAGAGGGGCAAGTATCGTTTGTCACCTCTTGTTTCAGATGTGAAGACCTGGGAGAAACGTTTGGGAGAGGATTTGAGCATTCTCGATGCACGGGATGTCATCTCGGAGTATGTGGCAGAGGTGCGAATGCTGGCATTTGCCTTGATGAATGCGGGGCTTCGAGTGAACATTGATGCTCTCCTTCATTTAGTTTTAGGGGATAAGGAGGTATTATGAGGCATGCAGGTAGGTGGCTAGTAGGCAAGTAGAAACCCCTAGAACTTCATGGTGTTGATGACCCTGTTGTTTGTTCTCCACCCACTTCAGGCATCCTGAGCTAAGGATGCGCCGAGCACTTTGCGGAAGTTGGTGGAGATTGTGAAGAGAAACAGAAGTGTCATTCAAAGGTGCGTGGTTCTCCGGCGATGTAAGCGGTGGATCCAAAAAATGCAAAGATGCAACTGGTTTATAAAATATCTTGGATAGTGGATAAGATATCCAAGATAAAATGAAGTGCAAAGTTTCATACAAGTTAGAAGTGCAAAGTTGTTTGGTTTGGTTATCGGATAGCTGCAGCTGGATAGCTGCAATATATGAGTTCTTCGCGGATAGAATACCGATGAACACGCTTGGACTCGATGTGAACCGTTCAGCCAAGTAGCCATGAGCACGCGACACATGGACGACACATGGACGTGAGGTTCCAGTGAACGGGCTATTTTGCTCCCTCGTGTGCCCTGTCAGGTGCCGACAGGTGGATGCCTATCAAAAGGCTGGACAACATCAAGGTGACGAGGAATAGCCATGATAAAATGCTTAGCTTTGAAGAAACTTTTACGAATTGCTTTTTCCTGCCAAAGGCAGAAACTCAGGGGATCTGGGAAGGACTATGGACGTCCTGCATCGTATTAGAGGGTAAATGAGAACTATAGGTCCAGCTTCCGAAAGATCTCCCCTTTGACAAAACTGTTTGATGTGCCAGGTTCGAGACCTGTTTGGGGACTCGCAGATTTTCCACGGCACCAATCAATCCAACTAGCTTGCCGTCTAAACTACTGGTACTCGCGAGTCTCAAAAGGAGCAAGACCAAAAAGGAGCCTTGCAGCTCTTGCACGTGCTGCCTGTGAGGCTGCGAATAGATCGATGGATGTGGAATTGTTGCTTTGTAACATTAATCCTGCGAGGAGCTCATCTCGCTAAATTCCTATCTCATTCAGCCATAGACCTCTGATTGGCCATGCCCCGAATGAACCAGACAGGTTCAGAAGATAAGACTGCACACACCACGACCGGGACGAAATGCGAGGAGGCCAAGCGTTGTGACAAATTGTGCCGGATGCTTCTGCATCAGCTGAAATGGTACGTAGTTGCTTTGCATGGGTGTTCTTGGTGTTTCTTTTGATTTGGATATGCTCGCAGCTTCACCTGGTAAACCTCGCAGACCCAGCGCATCGGATGTTCTGTTCTTTCGACCTTGGCTGACCAACAGCGAAATGGTATAAGAAAAGTTGGAGGCTTAGGCTTATCAGAGTAAGTACAAGGGAGTATGTACAGAGTGCTTATCAGAGTGCTTAGGCTTATAAATGGTAAAGATAGCGAGGGAGTATGTACAAGATCTACTCCCTCGCTCTCTTCGTCTACGAGTCACCTCAAAAGAAAGAGCCTCCAAGGCGTTTCACCAAGGCCTCGGTCGGCGAAGCGGCGGATCTCGAGATCTGTCGCGGCACGCGGCACGCTACTCCGTGGCGTTGCCGGGGCCGGCTCCAGGCGACCACCCGGCGCGGAGCGGCGGAAGTCTTTCCTTATGGTCAGCAACCTACAATCTGAAGGGTCCAACCCTGTTCGGCCTCCAAAAGGGGGGGGGGTCATCATCATTTGTTGCGAAAAACAGTTGCCTCAAGGTCATGTCTTCACTCCTATCCGAGGCATCCTCAGCACTCGGCCCGTCCAGGTGTTATTGGTCGCTGCGGGGCCTTGCAGAAGGCGCATCAAGGTGCCGATGGGTTTGGAGCATCGTGATTTCGTAGAGAATCCCAGTGCTGGACTACAGTTACTTTCCAAAGCATTCTCCTCAATTCCTGCACCTCCTGGATTCTTTGTGTTCATCGACTGCACTCCCAGCACTCACGGACTCACGGTCCTTTGAAAAAGACTCCCCAATGCAGTCATTCCATTTGTTGGTCTCTCCAAACAAAGCATTTTCTCATGTCCCTCTTCACGTGACCTCTTCTGCGTAAATGAGACGCAACTCGATATGACTGACATATGGGGTGGTTGGCAAGGGGTCAATGCCGGCACATATGTTGACCTTAAGTTTTGATCACAAAAGATTATATTTTGGGTGGGGTGGTTGATGATCCAAAACAGAGGACGCTTAGGTTCTAACTATAAGTTTATAGTATCAGTGTTTCTACTGTTATACATCCACTCAGCTCAAGCGTCCGGGTGTTCTTTGTATCAAACTTCCTTGCGCCGAAGAGGGGCTTTTCGCGAAGAGGCGCCGAAGAGGCCGCTCGGCACGGGTTGTTTTGGGCGCCGAAGTCCCGGGAAAAGTCCCTTTTCACTCGGGGGCACAGGAGTTGTCAGACGTTTGGCGTTCCCAGAGTCCTTGATCTGCGGAACTGGTATAGAAGGCAACCGTGCCAGGCAGGCTTCGGCTTCAGCTCTCAAAAGGCCTGGGGCGAGGAAACGGTCACAGTCATAGGGGTCGAGTCAGTTCCTCTCACAAGATTCCCAGCTCTGCACAGGACGTCTTTGTTAAAACCCCAGGCTTGGGCTTCACGCATCTGCAAGTGCCCAAGTTGTGGAACACTTGGCACGCTGAAAAAACTCACGGGCGCAGCCATCAAGCTTAGAGAAGACGCGCGGTTTGCCAAATCCCCAAAATGCCATGAAGTGCGCCTTCCTCATTGCCACGATCTCTGGGGCTGTGCGCCTACAGCTGAGCTCAGAGGCAGATGGAGGGATGTGAGACAGGAAGTGACACTGGAAGTGAGGCATCCTGCGCATTTGGGAATATCCCCTGTACCATCGGGAATATGATGTCCCCTTGATGTTTGTCGTTTTGCCTTTGGTTCAGGCTGCATTTGTCCTTCTGGTGTTGTTCTTTCAAAGGAGAACGAACGAAGAATCCGAAGACGGGACATCTCCGAACTTCCTTCTGCAGGATGCCATCAGTTGGTCCGCTTTGGACGACGCAGTCCCGTCGACTCCGTCCTTCATGGAGGAGAGCGCGAGCGGCGCGGCAGCGCGGCGCTGCGTCCCGCGCTCATTGCGCGGAGCTGGTCGGCGGGAGGGGCTCAGCTTCCCTTACAAGGTCGAGGGTTCGCAGCGCCTCGCGGTTTGCTCAAGAAGTTCTTGAAGAAACATTTGAGTGGTCTTTCGCATGCGAGAAGAAGGATTGAAAAGTGCGTGGTGTTTTTGCACAGACAAAGGTTGAATGCATGTCCTTAGTATTTGTTGCTGCTTTGCATCGTTGGCATTACAAACAATTGCACTCGGGACCGATCATCTACTTCTGCAATCTAACCTCTCCAAGCTCTCTGCCCGCTCAGCCCGCAGGACTGGCAAATTGAGGCAGGCCGGTATGGAGTTCACTAGTGTCCGTAAGGTGCCAGGTTCACGGTGTTTTGGTCGAAGGCGTGGCTGGCCCCATGGGTCGTTGGAAGGACGCGGGGGCATGGTGCGACCGAAACCGTCACCTGTGTCGGCCAAACGTGAGGCCAACGCCTGCAAGAAGACGGAGAAGAGATCCAAGAACGACCAGAAAGAGCGGATGTTTTCAAAGATGCGCAGATGGCTCAGATCTAAGAAGGACCAGGTGAAGGAGGCAGAAAGCGAGGCACGTGCGATGCAAATCACATGCATATATAGAAGGATTCCTCAAGAAGAGGCTTGCTGGACAGAGAAGACAACAACTCTTAAAGTCCCACCAGTCTGCTCCCAAAGTGTTGGAGTTGTTCAGCTCGTCGTGTGTGAACGATTTCGCCAGCGACGTGAGATTCGGACGTCAGGTGCCTTGGTCGGTGGGCGACGATGTGAATGGCGAGTCCATCCAAGAAGAGTTGGTGAAGTTTCTGGACAAGGCCCCCCAAGTGTCGCCTAAAACCAGATTGGTATGTGTCACACTCCGCCCTGAAAACTGGTTCTAGTCCATGGTCTATGTGTAATTACACATCGGTATAGTAAATCATAGTATATAATATGTATAGTATTATATATGTATTATGTATTATTATACACATGTATAGTAGAAACTTGCTTGGTGACATGTTGATGACTTCTCAGTCATGCTCTAAGAAGGTGTCCTTTTTTTAGTGAATGCCCTTGCGCTTAGATCTGAGGAGCTGAGCCGAAGAACAAACACGTTGCTTGATTCAAAACCATTTCCTTTGCATGAGCGCATGTGCTTTGAATAGCATTGTTGCGCAAATCCTTTCATGTCAATGAAGGAGGGGCAAGAAGCAAGCCACGGGAACGAGGCTGGTTGCAGTAGCGCAGTGATTTGCAAGCAGGTTCAGTAAGCCACGGCACATCCACCAGTGAAATTTGTGTCCCCTTCCGGTTCCCTTGTTTGGATTGGTCTGTCTATATCGCGCTTTGCCGCTGGGGTGATCAGGGCCAGAAGTTCCCAATGTTCAAAAAGCCCGACGTGAACACCGTGACCTTCTTGGAGGAAGCCTTGGAGACCGACACAGAGGCAGGGAAGAGCTTGCTACCTTTCTTGGCTTCCACCGTTCCTGAAAAAGTCATGAGACTAAGCAGTCTGAAGAAGGATTCACGTCAGGGAGCTGACTTTGAGTCAGAACATTGAATGGTTTCAAGTTTGCAGAGAACTTCGGCAGCGCAATGTCAACCAGCCCAGGATCCTTGTCAGCAGCAACTAGGAGGTCTGATGAGAGATTTGCAGAAGGTTTGCGAAGAGGTGGGGGTTCCGCTTTGTGAAAGGCCAAAGCGGATTTGGCCTAGACATATTAATATCGACGCCCTCGACTGAAAACCACCTACAGACCGACCGCCTCATCGGCCAACTCGGCGTCTTCTCTCCCTTTTCGACCCAACTCGTCACTCGTCCATCTCGACCGCAGAGGCCAAACCCGAAGAAGACCGCTGGGGCTGGTTCCAGTCGCTTCCAGCTAAGACGTGTGTCGAGTCCGTGAAGGAGCTCTTTCTGCACGGCTTGGAGTTGGTCGCAGCGAGCCAAGTGCCGGTGAACCTGGTTTATCAAAAGAGACTGCCACGGAGCACTCTGCCCTTGCTGCAAAGTCTCAACTTCTTGGAAAAGTGGCTGGTGAAGCTGGCCACGGCCGAGAAGGAAGCCATTCTGTGGGCCGGATTCTGGACGGACCCCAATTCCCAAGATGGCCATTTGCACCGTGCATCGAAGGAAACGTTGTTTCGCTTTGCCCATCTCACTGAGACGGAGACTGTACATCCCAGCACGAAACTGGGCCGGATGATTGAACAGTTCAATGAGCTCGACCAGTGCAAGGGCGAGCTGGCTTGGAAGCTCACAGGGAACTTTTGGTCGTTTGCCAGCTATTCCTTCGTGCTTGGAATGAAGAGAAAGGAACAAGGAACTGTCATTGCCCTCGCCAACAAAGACTTGAGCGGCCCCAGATCCTTGAACAAGTCTGTGTTGTTTCAACATGAAGTGCCCACACTCGGCATCGCAGCCTGGGGGCTAGGTTTTTGGTCGCCCCAAGTGATTCTCATTGATTTGAAGGCGACGTGCAACAAGACCAGTTCCATCCTTCGCGAGAGGCTCTTCGCCCGGCTCAGCCCATACTTCCGTGTCAGAGCCCAAAGGTATTGGACCTCCGCAGAATATGCCTTGCGCTCCAAGCCATCCTGGCAGTGTATCGACTGCGAGGAGGGCAAGTGCGAGCTGGGCCCCGAGTTGGCCCAGCACCTACGGACGCTGCGGGAGGCCGGTTGCGCTGCATTTGGGGGGGATCATCACGTTCATTTAGAGAGAAAGAGACAAGAGTTTTGAAAGCAACTGGGTGCTTTGCAATCACAACTTGCATGCTGCATATTGCATTAAGCATGCTTTACCGAAACAAAAAGAAAGCAATTAATACCATAAAGAAATCTTAGTCCTACTCACTTTTCATCTGTTTCGTGTAGGATTGTTTCTGGCTCCCTAGTCCCCTCGTGCCCCAGTCCCTGGCCCCATAGTCCCCTGTTTTTGTAAGGCCATGTATTGTGGGCTTGTTTGTGTGTGGCTTGAATTTTCGTGTGGCTGATCATGTACGCGGAAAGGCCAGATCTCCGATGCCGTCCCAAGAGATCTCAAGGGGTGACGCCAAGCCAGATCTCCGATGTTGCCTTGCACCTCCGTGGCAGGCACTACAACAAAGCAAACATGACCAGACCATCCAGTCTAAACCAAACCCAACACCAAGCCCTTTTCAGAGGGCAACTCTGAAAAATCACCAAAAACACGAAGGTCGCCCGACCAAAACGAAACCTTTTGAGAGAGGCGCTACGCCCTCGCTCGAGCCCTTTGTTGTCTTTTGGAACCAAGCCACACCCACTTTATGGGATCAGCCGGGATCAGCCGTGCGTGATTGGGAACAAGGTCGAAGGTCAACTTAGAACAAGTGCTGCCAGGTGCATGATTAACCCCCCTCCAGCATTTACAGGTCATGACCTGCGTGGTTCCTACTTCTATGCATCCCGTCGCCCGCTCCGCTCTCCGCTCTCCGCTCTCCGTTCCGCACACTCACTCGCTCGCGCCGGGGCAGACCGGGGGTCGGGTGAGTGGGGCCCAGACGAGCCGCTCTGTGCGGTCCGATTTCAATTCAGATGACGTAGACGAAAAACCACCTGACTGAAGGACAAAACATG